CCCCAAATGTAGGCATTTTGTCTTAAAATTGCCCCCAAATGTCACCAAAGCCAACCCCCACCCACACACACACACGTTTGTTCTTCTATCCTCATTGGGACTTTACATTGACCAACTAACCCTAACCCAGGGCTATTCAACTAAATTGCTCTTGGGGGCCACAGTTACTGCAGGCCAACAGCTGAGGGGCCGAACATACAGCAATTAAAGTCATTTTGTAAATATCCCAAGTTTTCCAAAGATCTGTTGCCTTTGAAAAGGTTTATTTTGYTGCATTTAATCATGAATACAACATACAGAACCCTATGTAATAATAAAAGTAGTGATAATAAAACAACAAAAACAAAAATAACACATTATGCCATTATTTACCACTAATATTATTTTGACATCTCTGACTTGCCAAATTTCTAAACCAATTTTATTTTCACTTTCATTGTTTTATCTTCAACTGCTTGTAATTTTAACTGTTTTGAGTGTTACGAAAACATTTCATATCAACTCTAATGTTGGCCTTAGAAAACACAAAAATGGCTATACGCCTGCCAATAAACCATTTCGTTTCATTTTCTCAGTTGACCCGTGACCCGGGCTGGAAGAGTTAGCCTCCGCCAGCACTCATAACTACAAGATGTTTTGTTTTATAGATGCTTTGATAAAATTTGGTGAGGTGGTAGCTGACAGTCATTCACAAAACATACACTGAGTGTGACATTTCATGGTATTGCACAAGATTCAAGAATTGGTTAAAACTTCAATTTCCTCATGAGTCAACATAAATGGTTTTAAAATGTGCCTTGAATTTATTGTTTTATTGTTATTTTTAAATTTGAGTTTAATAACCACAAACATTAATACTACATTAGGAGGGATGTGTAATATTTAATGTGTTTTATTTGTGTTCTATTTTGATCCCCCTGATCCAGATTTGGTGATGGCTACGTAGTGACCATGAAAATCAAGGCAGCTAAAGCAGGCTCGTCCCCGGAGCTGGAGCCCGTGGAGAGCTTCATGGAGAACTCTTTCCCCGGCTGCGTTCAGCGGGAGAAACACTACAACACCCTGCAGTACGAAATCGCCTCGTCCTCCCTGGCCAGGATCTTTCAGCTGGTGGTGGCCAATAAAGACAGGCTCAACATCGAAGACTACTCTGTTTCCCAGACAACACTGGACCAGGTGAGCAGGAAAACAAAAGATGATGTCGTTATTTCAGAGAAACACAGCCGTTTGTCTTGAATCCAGGAAATTGTAACAATAAATGGAAATACTGATTTTAAAGTCACCTGATATAATACACTTTAGACCGTATACTTTTGCCACACAGATTTGGGATGTTGCTTACTGTTCAGCAGGAAAGCATTGTAGTTTTTTTAAATTGATTTAGTTCTTTTTTTACTTCTTTTGAAATTTTAGAAAATAAGGAGCTAAAGATGTTCTAATAAGAAGTTGGCTTATATAAGACTCATCATCTGCAGGGCATGTATAGTGTTACAGAATGAGCTTAACAATGCTTATAACCTGCTCAGAATCTAACCCATGCAGTGTAAAAAAAAAGACACGATCATCGTTAAGTGTTGAGAAATGCTGTGCTCACATTCTGAATGAAGTTTTCTTTCCTCCTGTCCAGGTGTTTGTCAACTTTGCCAAGCAACAGACAGGCGAGGACGAAGACGTCACGTTACGCAGACGAAAAGCACGTTCAAGAAAAGACGTCAAGATCTCGCCGGCAAGGAGAAAAACATGAACCCCCTCATCTCCGCTCAAACACACCAATACAGATGATGACAGACTCTTTTCATACGTTGCTTACCAACAGGTTTTTTTTTGTTATTTTTTTGGACATAGTAAGGCCGTTTACCTGCCAAAAATGATGGTTAGAGCCGCGATTTTTACAGCTTCAATCAAATCTAAAAGCCTTTGGCTACAAATGAGATCCATTTGCTCTGATATATACAGTATATATA